GAGACTGCGCACCCGCATGCATGTACACACAGTCTTCCACCTTGCTGTCAAGCTTCCACCTTCACAAAATTGGATTAGATACTGTCCCTTTGAATGTCCCCCCAAGAGTGTATTTGCTTGACTTCCCCTTGTAGTCCATAAATTCCTCATGTAGTAAGAACTTGTCTCACTTAAGCTTCTCTCTCCAGAACCCACTATAAAGTTAACTTTTTTTTCTTTGTATATTTTGTTATAGGGTCTCACTATGCAGATTGGACTTGTAGTGATTCTCCTGTTTTCAGCCTCCCCAGTGTGGGATTACAGGCATGTGCCACCATGTCGGGACTCTGTTGCCAGTTCGGTGTGCCCTGGGAGCAGGGCTGGTGCAGCATGTGGACTGAAGATCGAACCCTGATCCCTGGGCTTGCCAAAGCAGGCATTTTATTCACTGAGCTATCTAGCCAGTCCTAAAGTTAACATTTTTTGAATGAATTCTTGTGATTAACTTCAATTTAGTCCTTTCTCTCTACTTCCTTGACAGCATGAGGTGAGAAGTTTTGTGTCCCCACACACTCACCACATTAATATTCTCCTTTACCATGGCCCAAAAATAACAGAGTCTAAAACCCTGACCCAATATAAGTGTTTCTTATTTCAAATGGTTAATCACAGATACTTTATCACAGCAACAGAAAACTCACACATCAAGTATGGGAGGAACTAACCTGTGCACCATGAGCTTCACGCGCTGTGCTAAGTGTGGGTAGTAAGTCAGCCATCGTGAGGCATGTAACGACAGGAATGGACCATACCTGGGTTGAGGACGGGCAATGAAGAGGCACATGAGAGAGCCATTTACTCAGGGGTGTTGGCACACGCCCGTATTCCCAGCACTCCAGAAGCTGAAGCAGGAAGTCACTGCAGCAATTTTGAGGCCAGCCTGAACTACAGAGAGCCTATCTCAATTGAAAAAAGGTGACATTTAAGGACAGTAAGGGAGGCTACTGCGGCTTTCCTTTTATTTTTAATGTTTCCCCTCTTTTGTTCAGCCCAAGTTCTCTCTGCAGAGCCAGTTTCTCCCTTACTCTTCACTCACCATAAAAACGTCAACATAGAAAGGGATAGAAGGACCAAGTAAATCTTAACTATTCATAAGGCAGGGAGCATATCACATCCAGAGTGACAAGTAAATTATTCCTAAATCAAACATGAATTAGGGCCAGCAAGATCATTCAATGGACTAAGCCCCTGCTTAGACAAACGCAGGCATGCCATGCTGGCCCCACCCCTGGGCACTCAGAGCTGGCCACTGAGACTGGGTGTGGTGGTGCACGCCTGTAATCCCAGTGCTGGGGAGGCTGAAAACAGGAGGCTCATTACCAATCTGAGCTGCGTCGTGAGACCTTGTATCAAATACAAACACACAAACAAACATGCATTATGAGTAAGATCTGGTCTCACAAGTGAGCTGCCCAAGAAACACAGACAAAGCCTAGTGGTGCTCAGTATGCTGATTTATGCCAAGCTACAGCTGTAGGCAGGCATACCTGCTTCTCTAAAAGAACAAATATGTGTTCACAACATCTTCAATCCCCTTATACTAAAGTCTAGTATTACGACTTGTGTCTAGATGTCCTCCCAGAGGTTTTTGCACTCACAGGTGGGGCTCCTGGGAGGTGGCTGGACCACGGGGGTGTGACATTGGGATTAAGAGTCCATGGCACTGGATTAGTCCACTGTTTGTTTTAGCACAGTTCAGCATGTGGCTGGATAGATTACTGAAGACACAAGCCCCACACTGGGGGTGGGTAGCACCAACCAATGGGTCTGCAGCCCGGATGGAATATAAAGGGAAGGGAATGTGTGCTGACGCTGCTTCCTGCCTGCTACACCATGGACTGTTTCTCCCCTGCGAGGCCCCTCGCAGGCCACAAGGCTTTGTTCTGGCTTTTTTTTTTTTTTTTCCAGAACTGGGGATTGAACTCAGGCCCTTGCCAGGGAAGCACTTCTTCCACCGAGCCATCTCCCAGCCCCGGCCACAATGCTTTTGAACCTGCCTATGGACTAAAATATTGACACTGAGCCAAAATAAACCTCCTTTAACTTGTGGGTGTCAAATATTTTGTCCCAGCAATGAGAAAAGTTGCTAAGAAACTGCTCTTCATATAGTATCAGGGATGAATGGGAAGACAGGACATCAACAGTAGCATTAATATTTAGCTACTACTCTCCTTCTGTTCTGCGCTCACACCCTATCATGAGTACCTCCGCTTATCCCGCCTCTTTCTCTTTGCTATGCTTTAAATTGATTTTTAATTCACTGCTGCTTGTGTGCTTGATCACTGTAGACCTGATACTTTCGTAAGGTAGCACGTGGGAAGATTCTGGCACTTGCCCTGGCTGATGGAAATCCCAGGGCTGGAGCGATGAGAACAGCAGCGAGACTAATTTGAAGGTGGAGGGCCGGATGGTTCTGTAGTGCAGTGCAAAATGAAGAGGCACACACAGCTTGGTAAACTAATGAAGCCTCCTGTAAGCGGCAGGGTTTGTCAATGATGCAGATTAGGTCAGCGGGCAGCCCATCAATGAAGTGGGTGCACCTGCACAGCCGGTGCTGGACACTGAGGGTGCAATCCATGGGCTCCAACAGCAGACAGAAGCATCTACTAACAAGGGAACCTGCTGCTGCTGCTTTAGTCCAGAAGGGTATTCCTGATAAGATACGGTCAATTAGAAAACTGCAATTTTGCTCCCCTACTTTCTGACTACAGTGATTTCATTTTCTCCTTCTCCAATTTTTATTGTGCAGAAGATAACTGGTATATGTACATAAACGTAATACTTTTGTCTAACTAAATAGATGTGACGGGGGAAGATACTGGTTCTGTGAAATATACCTTATCAATTAGTGAATATCATGCTCATTCAGCTCTTCCCTGTATATTCCAGCTATTTTGATATTTTCAGAAAAATAAAATCAAATCCCTGAATATTTTGTTCCTGTTTGGTTTTGAGTCAGGGTCTTGCTATGTAGCTCAGAATGGCCTGGATTCACTACGTAGCCCAGGGTAGCCTCAAAATCTTTCTGCTTTAGCCTCCCAGGTACTGGAATTGCCCCATGCACTGCCACACCCACCTAATCCCTGAATATTTTGATAGTAGGATTTTTTTTTTTTTTAATTTTAGGGAAGAGTCTACAGAGTGTTCAGGGTCTCACTACTAGATCAGACTCACAGTGATCTGCCTGTTTACAGCCTCCCAAGAGCTGGGATTACAGGCATGCATCACCATACCCAATCTCAATTGCTGTCTCAGCGCACACTGGGGCAGAGCCGGCCCCGGCCCCTGCGCCTGCGCCTGCTTGCAGGCACTTCAATCTGCTGAGCTATCTGGCTGGCCCTGATAGTCAGATTTTTGTTTATCATTTATCCTATTAAAACCAATTTTATTATTGCCTTGTAAGTCACTGTTGGGTAAAGAGCAATCTATCTTTAGGTAGGGATAAATAACTCAAAATACTTTTCCCTTCTAGTTAAGTCTTGTTTAAACTTGCTTACAATAAAAACAAATTACTAACAAACTGAGATTCAACGTTTCAATTTAATCAGACCCCATTTTGAGGCCTCTGGAATGGCCAGGAAGTAGAAGCTACTCTTACATACCAGGTACTTTCTTACCTCATAACAGTAAGTGTTATATAACACAATATTAAAGCACACAGCAACCTTATGAGAAAAAAACAAAATTCTGTAGATGAGGAAACTGAGTTTCCAAGGACTAAGTAACTTGCCCAAATAAAGCAAAGAAATGAAGACACTAGAATGCATGGCCATAATATGGCTTCAAGATCCACGTTCTTTGCATAGGCTTATTCATTTTTGTATCTTCAATACTACCTAATATGACGCCCGACATACGGTAGACATATTCCTTGATTACTTCAAATGAATGAATTCTTGCTTTCATTTGCCGTGTTAGCTTATGATAAATTAACTTCTTTGAAACTCAGTCTCCTCAGAATATATGCGACTATTATTTAAAGTTAACACATGTAAAAAAAAAAAAAAAAAAGAAAAAAGAAATCACTCCTTTGGCTTCTCTAACTGCTTTAAGAGCTCTATTGTTTTAGGACAGGTTTGAGGAAGGAAAGTCTGTTCTACTTTACCATCTACTTCAGCTCCAGCGAACTGCCCCGAAACAGGTGCATGCTGTTCCCGCCACACTGCAGCTTTAATATACTTACATCTCTTTCACCTCATTGTTACTGGACAAATTATTTTTTATTTCTGTTAGTTGCCTTTAGGCCGGCCACCAGGAGCCTGATCTTAGTAATTCCACCTGACTCCTGTCCACTGACACCTCATGGCTGGAGTGCCGCCTCTCTGCCACTTCCACTTTCGGACGTGCAGGAACAAGGAGGCTCTGGAGTACACGGTTTTTTCAGTCTTTTTAATCTATTACTATTACATTATTTTACTTTGTAACCACTACCTTTTCGTCGTGTTTATGCTATTTTTACCCTGAATTTAGGCTTCTGCAGCTCGCTCTTTCAGCAGGTGACCCTAGGTTAGTGTCATCAGGCTCCGGTCCTCATCCGTGCGCAGGCAGTGGTTCTACCTACCTCGGAGGCGTCCAGTCAGCGTAGGGCTCCGCAGGCCCAAGCGTCGGGAGCACGGGGCGCCCCGCCAGCTCTCCGGGTTCTGCGCCCGCCGGGATCCTACCCGGAGAAAGCGCGCAGGCGTCTCCCGGTCCGCCTGGCCGGGGCGGGGCGAGCGCGGCCCCGAGGTCTACGCGCAGCCGTTGCGACTGGCGGGGGGCGGAGCCGGCGCAAGGAGGCGGGGCCAGCGTGTGTGGGCGGGGCCCAGTGTTGAATCTGGGCGGGGCCGTCCGTGGGCGTGGGCAGGCGGAGGAGGAGCTGCCAGAGACCTATGCCAAAGAGCACAGGTCTCCAGTGCAGGGGGCGGGGCCGACTCTGCGGAGAGGGCGGCCCCAGGAAGGCGGTGCTTGAGGAGGGGCCGGTGGCGGTGGGCGTGGCCCGACGCTCCGGAGGCGGGGCCGAGCCGCGCAGAGCGTCCCAGCAGAGCAGGCCTCAGAGGGTCGCGGTGCGTGCGACGCCGGGGCTGGCGGTCCCGTGGGCTACCCGGTTTCCGTCCGAGTCGGGCGAGTTCTGCGGCGCTCGGTTCCGTGCTTCCCACGCTGCGCTGAGTCTGCGTGATGGACGACCCGGCGGGGCCGGAAGCGGGCTTGCCCGGGCCGGTAGAGGTGAGCGTCATTGTCGCCGTCCTCCGCCCTGGGGTCGCGCCAGCCTCGGCTCACGGTGCGGCGGAGACCTGCTCTTCAGAGGCCGGCTCAGCGAGGATCGAGACGCGAGCTCCTGGGCGAGGGAGCGGGGAGCCGAGTCCGCTGCGCCTCGCGGCCCTGCTCTGCGCTGCCTCGCTCCTCGCTCTCGTTGCCGCGGGGGCTGGGGCGTGGAGGCCGGGGCAGCCCAGCTGCGGAGCAGACGCGTGCCGTGCCCGGGTGTGTGCGTGCGGGGAGTAGCACGACGGCGAGACTGTGCCCCTTAGCCGAATCTTTGCAGTGTCGGCTTCCTCATTTAAACCGGGGAAGTGGTACTCCCCTTGCAGAGAATTCGGGTGCTTTATGCAAAGTGCCCTAGAAGTTGGAGGTGCTTAGGAGACCCAAGGGAGCTTGTCTTCTCCGCTTCAGGGTTTCGAAGTAAAGGAAGTTTAAATTGTTGCTCTGTTAATTTTCATGCCCTATTATTTTACAAAGATGTCTGAATTATTTGGAATAAGAAATAATTTTTGTAGTGGAACCCGTTTCAGTGTGTGGTGTCTTGGACTTGGGTGCATAAAAGTTGCAGCTCACTGCTTAGCCCTGCATTTCTTCAGAAGGCTGGAGATCTGAGGTTTGACATTTTATAGCCATTTTTTTAATTTTTAAAAACTTTTTTGTTTTTTCTTCAAGACGGGGACTCACTCGTATACTCTAGGCCTGCCTTGAACTCAGTGCTCTTCCTGCCTCATCCCCCAAGTGCTGGGCTTACAGACGTGTACTACCAGGCCCAGTTTTTATATCCATTTGGTAACTAATTAACAACGTGCACGTGAAAGTCTCTCAGCGTTTTTTACCCTCTCCTGTTTTGTGAAGACTTTCAGCTTGCAGTGCAGGTTGGCCTTGAGCCCAACGTGTAGCTCAGGCTGACCTCGAACTTTAGGGGATCCTCCTGTCTCATTCTTGTTTGTGCCGGATTACAAGCTTGCCCACTAAGTCGGGCAGCATTTTCTTCCTTTTGAAACAAATAAATTTATTTATTTAGTACCTGTGATCGAAGTCTGGATCTTGCATTCGCCAGGCAGGTGCTTATGCTGCTGAGCTGTATCCCGGGCCCCAACAAATACAGTTAGTACCCGTTTTCCCATGCATGGGGAAAGTGAACTTTTCTGTTTTGCTGAGGACTTCAGGCTTTTCCCTGAAAGTTAACCTTTTGATTAAAGCTATCTCAGTGTCCAGTACACAAAGACCCCTGCAAGATGTTCAGCTGTAGAATGAATTTTGTGGAGCATTTCAGTGCAGACATTTTAAATATGAGATCCAAGGGTGTCTTAAGACCTTCTCAATGTAAGTGTAGTGTGGGCCCCCTGCTTCCCCATCATCTTCCTGCTTCCCCGTCACCTTCCTGCTTCCCCGTCACCTTCCTGCTTCCCCGTCACCTTCCTGCTTCCCCGTCACCGTCCTGCTTCCCCGTCACCGTCCTGCTTCCCCACCACCTTCCTGCTTCCCTGTCACCTTGCGTAGTGCGAAAGTGAATCAGAGGACGAGTCTGCACCTGCATTTGTAACAGCACTTCAGATGACCCTGGGACCTGTACGTGAAGAAGTGTCGCCTAATGGTCTCTGCCTGGGTTTGGGTTTCCTAAAGTTCTATGTGGACTTTATATATGTAGGTCTTACATCCCCTCAGACTCTGCTTTCGTACACCCATATAACTCATATACTGTTGTACAGGCTGTCATTGTATAGCCGAGGCTGGCCTGGAGCTAGAGATTCTCCTGGCTTGGGCTCTTGGTTCACCTGGATCCTTTCGATTTCATGGTTGTGTTATACTCCAGGACCAGTTTTTTTTTTTTTTTTAAATGTATTTAAAAAATACATTAAAAGGGTTTACAGGGTCTCACTACGTAGATTGGACTCATAATGAGTCTCCTGTTTTCAGCCTCCTGAGCGCTGGGATTATAGGCATGTGCCACCACTACCAGGCTCAATTGCTGTCTCAGCACACCTGGGGTGGGGGGCGGCATACCGGGGATGGAACCCCAGCTGCTGCGCTCTGCCTAAGCAGGTGCTTTAGTCCGCAGAGCTATCTAGCTGGCCCTTCTTTTCTATTTATTTATTTATCTTTGTGTATGTGTTCTGTACACTGTCTCACTACGTAGATTGGACTCATAATGAGTCTCCTGTCTTCAGCCTGCCCAGCACTGGGATTCCAGGCATGTTCCACCAAGCCTGGTCTCTGTGGCTGGCTCAGTGTGCCCGGGAGCAGGGCCAGCACAGCACGTGGTGCTAGGGATTGAACCCTGGTCCCTATGCTTGCCTAAACAGGAGCTTATTTCCTGAGCTATCTCACTGGCCCAAGGACCAGTTTTCTTTAATTTCAAACCTGTGAATACTAATTGTATTATAATTTAGCTAAATAATTTATAAAATATGAATATGAAAAAGCTATTTGTATGAGAGCTGAAATTGAAAACCTCAAAACCTCAACAAAAGTGGGTTATTAAAAACAATTCTAAAATATGAGTTCTTAGCACAGGTCCATGGAGGGAAACCTGGAGAACCCTGTGTGGGCTTCCTAAAATCACAGTAAAATATTTATAGTGAACTCCCGGTGCTTGCTGGAGCTCAGTTCCAGGGTGTATGCTGCTTCAATCTCTGTCTTCACATCTTCGCAGTGTGCACCTAATGTAGCTGCTGCTTTCTGTCACTGAGGGTGTAGTCTGTGACCTTCACCCAGAGCCATTTTGAGACAGGATCTTGCAAAGTCACTACATGCTTAGGTTGGGCTTGAATTTAAGGTCCTCCTGCCTCAGCCTCCCAGAATCTGGGCTCATAGGTTTGTGCCCAACTAGCTTCTGCTTTCAATCCACATTTTATCAAGATGAAACAGAAGTGTACATACAAGTGTGACTTTCTTTTTGGGGAGTGGGGTTTGAGACAGTCTCCCTATTTTGCTCAGGCTGGCCTAGAACTCGTGTGATCCTCTTGCCCTCCCTCCCAAGTGCTGGCACTACAGGTGCGCGCTACCACAGCCAGCTACAGGTGTCACTTTCTTCAGATGCAGTGGGCCCAGCCTTCGGCACTTTCGTGGGCCTGAACCCTGATGGGCTCTGGATCAGCGCGTGGAGATCCTTTCAGGCTGAGGGTGCTGATGCCTGCGGGTGACAGCTGTGCCTCCTCCCCAGTTTCAGGACCACTCAGCAAATGGAGAAAAGCAGGGGCTTCTAGTCCTAGATGTACAACTACCCCTCATGATAAAATTCATGACAGAAGGCATCGAAGCTGCCCAGTGTTGACAGTGTGTAATCTGGGGGACCTAGAGGAGGAGCAGCCAGGCATGGTGCCGCGCCTCCGGTGTTTCAGCACTCACGAGGCTGAGGCACGAGGAAGGCTTAGAGTTTGAGGTCAGCCTGGGCTACATAGCGGGACCTTGCCTCAAAAAACAAACAAAAAAAAAGCAACGTGGGCCAAGATAGGTTGAGAAGTCTGTGGGCTGTGGACTCTGCCTTCTCCGTCAGGCGTTGGCCCCCGCCTTGTCGCATCTGATGCATCACTTTCAAGCTTCTCCAGCTGTGCGTTATTCCACAAGTTCTTAAAGCCGGTTAGAGATGGTGTTGATTGAATAGTTAATTGCTGTGATAATTCTTGGCTGTAGGAACAACCGTTAAAAAGCCAACCGAAGACATCTCAGGACTCAATAATGTCACTATTTTAAAATGTACAGCTCTTGCTGGGTGTGGTTGTGCACACCTGTAATCCCATTGCTTGGGAGGCTGAGGCAAAAGATCTCTGCAGGTTCAAAGCCAGACTTAAGTACACTTTTTGAGACCCTGTCTCAGAAAACAGAACAAAGTACAGCGCTTGACAGTGCAAAGTACTTTCATTTGTATTAAGTCCTCTGATCTTTTACCAGCTCTTTGAAATAAGCATGGCAACCATTATCTTTCATTTACGGATACAGGATTCAGATTAGAAGATGTGGCTGAGGGGCCGGGGAGATAGCTCAATAGAATAAGCTGGCAAGCACAAGGACCTGAGTTCAATCC